GCACACCGTGGCCGGGCCGGCGCTGGTCTGCCGGGGGCGGGACCCGGGGGAACGTTTTAGCTGTAGCCCCTGCAAAGCCGGCCTGGCTCTAGAGCCGGAGACTCTCAGGGACCCAACCACACGCGGCTAAACCTGACCAGGCATCTCCGGCTTTGAACTAAGCCCTGGCGGTGGATCGGAACCGGAGTCACTGACCTGCTGCGCACGCGCGCTCTAACACCCAGCCTCCCTCCCATCCGCCTCGCGGGGGAACGTTTTAGCTGTAGCCCCTGCAAAGCCGGCCTGGCTCTAGAGCCGGAGACTCTCAGGGACCCAACCACACGCGGCTAAACCTGACCAGGCATCTCCGGCTTTGAACTAAGCCCTGGCGGTGGATCGGAACCGGAGTCACTGACCTGCTGCGCACGCGCGCTCTAACACCCAGCCTCCCTCCCATCCGCCTCGGCCGGGTTTTCAGTGCGTCCCGCCTTTGTCAGTCTCTCCCTGCCCCTGCTCAGGCCCCACCCGCCCCGCTGCGATTGGACCCTGGGCGGAGCCCGCTGCAGGGCCTGAGCTGGCGCGCGAGCAGAGGGAGGCAGTATCGTTCCCGCTGTCCCTGCGCATGCGCAGCGCGCGGAAAGGCGCGAATTCCGAGGGAGCCGTTAGTGCCGTTACTCGCTGCGCCGCTGCTTTTGCTTCGGGAAGCGCTTGGTGGGGGTGGGGCAGGAATCGGAGGATCTGAGGGGAGGTGGGAGGTGACTGGGGGTGACAGTGTGGGGGGAGGCAGTGAGCTGCTTGGGGGGGCAAAATCATGTGACACCAACACCCAGGATATCTGCTGCCCCCTTGTGCCATTTCTCTCCTCCCCCTTGCTACCCTCTCCCTGCCCTGCCCCTTCATGTCCCCTCCTTGCTTTTCCCTCTCCCCCTACAGGGTGGCCCAGCACATGCGCTTCCTGAAGGAACAGAAGTTTGATTTTGATGCCCTGTGTATCCAAGCAGAAGGGTTTGTTATGCCCAGCGCTTGGGAGTGGAGGTGCTGCCCCCTTGTGCCATTTCTCTCCTCCCCCTTGCTACCCTCTCCCTGCCCTGCCCCTTCATGTCCCCTCCTTGCTTTTCCCTCTCCCCCTACAGGGTGGCCCAGCACATGCGCTTCCTGAAGGAACAGAAGTTTGATTTTGATGCCCTGTGTATCCAAGCAGAAGGGTTTGTTATGCCCAGCGCTTGGGAGTGGAGGTGGAGGGGGGCCCAGGGGAGTGTCACTTGGCAAGTCAGGCTCAGTGAGATGCTGCCCAGCAGTGGATCCCAATAGACTACAGAGGGAGCTAATGAGTGGAGAGAAGCAATGGGGTGGGAGATCCCAAGCACCTGGACCAGTCCCAACAGCAAGGCATAATGAGCACATAAAACCAATTATCTAAAAGGTTGTATGAGTGTTCCACTCAGGGTTACATATTGCTACTACACAGGTGTTAGTCTTCAAAATCCTCCTCTTGCAATGTATAAGTTAGGTCCATGGGAATGACGGACATGTTTGCCTGCGGGTACATTCTTAGATGGTCTTAAAGTACAGAGAACAGTAAATAACACAGCAATAACAACTGTGTGTAGTTCATCAGTGTGTCCCTTTGAGCTCGGCTTGGCATCTGTGAAGGACGGATGCCATAATTCATGTTGACTTGTTAGCCTTCTCCCTGAACCCTGTTTGGCGTTTGGGGAGGATGTACTGTTATCTTTTCCTGAACCAAGGAGCAGACTTTGAGGCTAAGTCTACACTGGCATGATTTTCCAGAAATGCTTTTAATGGAAAAGTTTTCTGTTAAAAGCATTTTTGGAAAAGAGCGTCTAGATTGGCAGGACATTTTTCCGCAAAAGCACTTTTTGTGGAAAAGCGTCCGTGGCCAAACTAGACGCGCTTTTCCGCCAAAAAGCCCCGATCACCATTTTCGCGATCGGGGCTTTTTTGTGGAAAATAAATCTCTGCTGTCTACATTGGCCCTTTTGCGCAAAAGTTTTTCGGAAAAAGACTTTCGCCCGGACGGGAGCAGCATAGTATTTCCGCAAAAGCAGTGACAATCTTACATGAGATCGTCAGTGCTTTTGCGGAAATTCAAGCGGCCAGTGTAGACAGCTGGCAAGCTTTTCTGGAAAAGCAGGTGCTTTTCCTGAAAAAGTGGCCAGTATAGACACAGCCCCCGACTCATCTCGGTGAGTTATGTGCCATAACTCTTGATAAGTCCTGAATTACTGCTCTCCTCCTGGGGTTGTGCAGTCTTGGCTTGTTTATGCCTGTTAAACAAACAAGGTTGATTCCTGCTTATCTCAACTTTTTTTTAGCCTTGTATTGTCCGTTGTTAGCTGGGCCTCAGGCCAGGCCCCTCCAGTTTGGGCATAAGTGAAAGATTTTTAACAGACAGTGAGGTCAAGATTTTACATACATATTATTGGGATTTTGGCTCTTCACTGCTCCAGGGAGATGTGATGCTGGGTTCCAGGAAAAGGGAGTGTCCTCAGGGGTGGGTCGATCCGGGATGCTGGAAGATTCTGAGACAGACTCATAGAACCATAGAGCTAGAAGAGACCTTAGAACATAGGTTCCCAAACTGGGGTCTGTGCCCCCCTGTGGGGGCATGAAGAAATTCCAGGGGGGGCACGAGGTGACCCGTCTCCCCCCCCCCAAGAAAGAGCCTGCGCTGGCATTACCTCACCCAAAGTTCATCTTTTGCTTGGTTACTTCCTGAGGTCTGTCTCCCTCTCTCCTCCCGGGGCTATAGACATGTCCAAGATCTACTTTGAAAAGGTGCTAATTTGGAGCTGACTTTGAAAAGGTGCTAATTTCACCCAGATAATCAGGGCCACAGGGGGAGCTCTACTTCTTGAATAATCATTGAATAAAGGCTGGAATGGGGGCAGAATTTCAAACAGCTGCTAGCTCAAAGTCAGGAAACAGCACAGGGAATAAGCGGCACACATGCTTTCTGAGACCCTGGACTTGGTTACTGGACCCCCAGGTACCAGCCTAGCTGTCCCCTCCCCCCATCCAGACCCCCACAAGTACCCTGCCCCTGT